GCCACTTCCAACGATGGCGAAGCCCAATTACCGCCACCTTCACCTTCACCCCAAAGCGATAAACCAAAATCGGACCAATCGATCTTCATCCTCCTCCAATCGCCTCTATCAAACCTTAGAACTCAAGAACGAACTGTACATGGAATCATCAACAGCACCACCATCTCCGGTGGAATCATCAACAACACAACAATCACCACCACCATCTCATATCTCCACTCAACCATAAGTCGCCTCTCGTTTTTACTGTTCTCGATTTGCAGCAAATTAGAAGATCAAAAAGAGAGAAGTAATCTACGATTTATCCTTTCCCCAATTTCCTTTCTTCTTCTTTGAATTAAATTGGTCATCTTTCTCACTGTGTCTCACAAACCGCCAGCACCTCCTGCAATCAACACTAGTCATCACTCTAACCTCAAAAAATGAACCCTAAACCTACAAATGAAACCAAACTAAACCCTAAACTTATAAATCAAAGATGATGGAGATTCAGATCAAAGAAGCGGGTTCAGATCGAACCCAAATCTTCTCCATCGACAACGGAGATGGAAAGGTGATCATATTCCGGCCGATGTTTAAGATGGTTTTTAGGGCCGATTCAATAGTTGTTCTAGGTGGTTTTGGTAAAATAAAGTTTAGAAACTGGGGGGGGGCGGGGATAGAGATGCAGGTTTCGAGGACGAAGCCTAATTTAAGTGGGGGAGAATTGTAACACGCCGAGTTCAGAAGTGCAAGTTCAGGGTTCTTAGTGTAAATAAGGAAGGCTGACTCGGCGAGTCGATGGATAGACTCAGCGAGTCAAGTCGCGATTCTGGTCACACGTTAAGTGACCAACTCGACGAGTCGGAGGCTGTACTCGGCGAGTTGGTGCTGAAGAGAGAAAACCCTAATCCCGGGGGTTGTGCCTTATATAAAGAACATAACACCTTTTCCCCATCCTCTTTACCTTCCATTTGAGTTCCAGAAGCCATAGATTCGTGTGAGCTTTCCTTTGTGAGAAATTAGAGCCTTGTAGAAGGGAATCTTGGAGGGGAATTGAAGAGCAAGAAGATTTGGAGCAAGGGGCTTTGCAGAGATTTGGTTCATTCTTCAGTGGGAGCTTGTATTGGAGGTAAGAGATATGTTCTTGAGCTTTTTGTGCATCTAGATTTATCAATGGTGGGGTTTTTGGAGCATAAATGAGGTCCATCTCGAGTTTGGTGTAAGATTTGAGGTTGCTACCTCGGATCTAGGCTTGTAAAGACCCTAGGAGCCATAAAGTCTATGATCAAGAGATGTAGGTGAAGTTCTTTTGTCCCTAGCCTTAGCTCAAGAGTGTATTATGCTTAGATCTCTTTGGATTCACGTAAAGTTTGCAACTTTACGTGAAGAATAGCTTGTAGAAGGATAGATCTATGGATTGGATCCCCGGCATGGCTTGGAAGGCCACTGTATGGATTAAGAACTAGAGGTACTCGGCGAGTCACATGGTTGTACTCGGAGAGTTGGATAAAGATAGGCACGGACTCGACAAGTTGGAAGAACAACTCGGCGAGTCTGTTGAAGATTGCCTTGGACTCGGCGAGTCTGTTCTTGGACTCGGCGAGTCTGGTCGCGAAGTCCTAACCTTTTTGGTTGAGCTGTGAATAAGTGTGTCGATGGATGACTCGGTGAGTTGAGCAGGAAGTGACTCAGAGTTCGTGGGACTCGGCGAGTTGGGTCGCGATGTGGGAGTTTTCAGAGCATAGGGACTCGATGAGTCAGCGGGCTGACTCGGCGAGTAGAGTCAGTAAGGCAGGTTGACTTTAACTGAGGACTTTGACTTTGACCAAGAGTTGACCAGTTGACTTCCAGGGGTAATTTGGTAATTATTGGTATTTATTGAGTTCAGTCTTTTGGTATTATCATTGGTGGAGTTCATGTCGGAGGTTGGAGCAGCGTGATCTTATGTTTTCAGCCAGCAGTTGCGAGGTGAGTTATCCTCACTATATCGACAGGGTCTAAGGCACCAAGGCCGGCCCTTTATCGGATTGTAATCCGGGTATTGTTATGTTATTGCTTTGCTATGTTTGCATCCTGGTAGTTAGGATGGTATATGTTAAAGACCTGGTTAATGTCGGTATCCTAGTACGTAGGATGAGGCTATATTAGTAACCGGTTAGGTCAGTATCCTGTTTAGAGTATGTTATGTATGTGATCTGCTAGATCGGTTGATTGATGATTAATTGTTATATGGTTACATGTTTATGTGCACATGGTTGGTTGACTGGGGTTAGGTTGAGGCGGGTTCTACTTTGTGCTGTAGGCCAACATACCCAGGGCGGACCGGATATCCCGAAGGCCCAGCGAGTGGTCCGGATAGGCTATAGGCCACTCGAGGGCAGACCAAATGTGCCGAGGCTCAGAGAGTGGACCAGGCCGACTGAAGGCCCGGAGGGCGGACCAGTCATACTGTAGACTCAGAGAGTAGACCAGGTGGGTTGAAGGCCCGATGTGGGCGAACCAACCACGCTGCAGACTCAATGGATTTGGCTAGACTCGGAGGGTGGACAAGGTGGACTGAAGGCCCGGTACGACGGACCAGTTACACAGTGGACCCGTAGTGCATTGTTGTTCTATTCTATTATGATATGTTATGTGTATGGTATATGTAATTGGTATTTTAGGGGTATCTCACTAAGCTTTCGGGCTTACAGTTGTGGTTTAATGTTTTCAGGTACTTCAGGAGACCGTGGCAAGGCGAAGGCGTGATCGTACCGTTCCTCATGTTCTTGTTTTATGATATGGTTCTGGGAATAGCTTGATAATAAATGTATTGAAACCTTTTTGTAATAACTTAATGAAATTGGGTTGTTTTTGAAAAGTTTAAATTGGCTTGGATTGTTAAAGTGTTACACATGAACCCATTAAGACCTTCAAGATGGAAACTTTCTACCTTATGGACTCATTTAACACAGAGAGTGGCAACTCTTAGCCTAAGAATCGGGTTTCAACCATAAAGTTTCATCCTTGGGACCAAAATGAACTAAAACTCACACTGGTAGATCTAAGAGATGAATGATCAAGTTCAAAGCTTTATACCTTCATCAAGCTGAGAATAAGTCCCAAAAGCCAGATCCATAAGTTCCTCCTTGATTCCCATCTTCTTGAAATGCACCAAAACCCACCCAAAATGCACCCACAAAGCTCACAACACTCTTGGATGAAGCTACCACTCGAAATTAGGGTTTAAGGCTCTTAGAATGAAAGGGAGGCGCACCCCCTTGGACTTAAGGTGCTTTAAATAGTGAGCCAACGCTAAAAATTAGGGCTTTGGAGATCCTGGACGTACACAAGGTATAATCCATGTATGTTGGGCGTACGTCTTCAGCACCCGCGTTTCATTATCCAACACTACGTTGGGCGTACCCCAGCTTACATTGGGCGTACTCACCTGGCTGCCACCTTGCATGCATGGGCTGAAATGCAAGCTTTTCAATTCAGGGACCAATTCTGCCTACAACTTCAAAGTACTATAACTTCTGCGTTCTAAGTCCATTTCCGACGAGCTTTATATCCACGAAAATGTAGCAAGAAGGCCTATGCTCCTAGCTACACCCCAAGCCTTAAAACCTTTCGAATAAAACCTAAGACCCATAAAAGACCGAATCATCATATTACACTTATACCCTTTGCCTCCAAAGACACAATCGAACACTTTCAAAACCGGGTGTTGCATCGCCAATTCAAGAAAACGACTTCAAAATGAAGCCACTAAGCTTATAATCATGGAATGATGGCTAGGTTTCGAAATGAGGAAATGGAGGATGGTGGAGGAGATCTAATCCAAGAATTAAGGTGCTTAAATATGGGAAAAACCCTAAAAGTCATGGGTTTGAGCTGCAACAACCACTACATCATGGCATCCCTCTTGCCACATTGTGGTGTCCATTTATAGATCCACCTAATACATGTCATGCCACATCGTGGTCATCCGTTTACCACGTCGTGGCGTATGGTGTTCCTCAAAATCCATATCTTTGACCCCATTAAATCTTCAGCTGATCAATTCTGGAAAACCATTTTCCAGTTTCACTTATGTAGACATAAGGACCGGTTCCGTTCTAGAGTATGCAAATATCTCCTTTGCTTTTATAGATGTTTATAAAATTAGAACGAGCACATGACCATAAAAGTGCTCTTTTGCTCATGAGAATAGATTGACTTGACATATCTACTATTTCTTCGATTCTAACTTGTGGAATCATGAGTTAAATGGTTTAAGTTGCCAATCATTACTATAAGAGATTTTTACATTTATTTAAAGTTCAAAGCATAAACTATCTTAATCTAAGCATGATTAGTCTGATAGTAGCAATAAATCCTAATCAGAGGATTGTTTGAGGAAAGGTAGTATTTATCACTTTGTTAAATAAAGTAATGTTTTTCTTGTTTTAGCTTTGTCTCGCAAAGGAGGAAAAAACAAGGTTTTTTGTTACTATATAGGCCTAAACATATTTGTAATATTTGAATGCATGATTTAAAGGGATCGCAAAAGAATGCTAGGTCTAAAAGGGTGTTTGGCAAAATTATATAGCTGATTTACTATATTTACATTTTGGTCTTAAATTTTACGGACAAGTTACCTTTTTTGATCATTTTTTTGTTAGATAGTCTATGATTATTTTTGAAGAAAACTGAAATTACTATTTGTGTAGGTTTTTCTGAACCATTTCATAAAAACCTTAATTCTTCCTTTTAAAAAAAAGGTTGTTGGTAAAATACGAATGCACGAAAATAAGTAGTGATAATAACCTATAGATTTTTTAATATGTATATAAAAACTATTAATTATGAAAAGTATTACCATAATTAAATGTGAAATGCATTAAGAATATATTATGTATGCCTGCAATGTTAGAAAATCAGAATAATGTATCCTACTTCCTACATGGAATATGGAATAGGTAATCGGATGATGATGGACATTAGCGACCTAATTAATCTGTCGGTCTCTTTCTTTCTAGTAATATCTTAACCAGCAATAATACAATGTTATTATAAAAATGGTATTTTATCCGCCCAAGATCGTGAGGTTAGGGAAAGAAAATACAAGGAAAAGGACAAGAAGATGGTGATATTAATGTTGCATAATACTTTCTTGATAATGATAGACTTTAAGAAATTCATAAACAAATACATTAGTTTTGAGAAATTAATGTAACATCAGCCTCATGGTTCTAGAATTTAAAACCTCCGGCTGTGTATCCGGCATCGACAACAATAACTTGTCCAGTAATATATGATGCTGCTGGGAGGCAAAGGAATGCCACCAAAGGTGATATTTCATCAGGTTCTGCTATTGGACGGCCTGGAGTTCGAGCCATTAATGGGGCATATGCTTCAATAATTTTATCATCCACCTTCTCCTGTTCCATAATATGTTACATTAAACGATCAGATCAAAAGTGCATTCCTAACATTAAATTCTCTAACTTCCATAATGAACCACAGCAAGTTCAAAGCATGCATCCCTTTGTTATGTTTCAGGTAAAGCCAAAACGCCCATGGAAAAAATTCAAATGTAAATATATTCAGAAATGGTCTTGTAAGAGTGTTGGGAAATTTTTAAGGATCTTACGAAGTTCATAATGGTGGTTCTGACACCCCATGGTGCAACAGTATTGGTGCGAATATTGTCTTTAGCCCACTCGCAAGCCAGGTTCTTGGTCAATTGATTGATTGCACCTGCGCATGAATCATGGCATAAACGATATGATCTTTAGCTCATCTTTTATTTTGAAAAACCTATTCGGAGTTTGATAAAAGACCTTTAGAAGCTGCATATACAGATATGGAAGGAAGACCCGTGACACCAGCAACAGAAGAGATGAACACGATGCTTGCATTCCCTGATGACTTGAGCAGTGGGTGTGCGAGTTGAGTCAAATGGAAAGGAGATTCGAAGTTTGTCCCCATTATATATGAACAATCCTCGGTTGTATATTCTGTTGCATCTCTAAGTCGAGATACTGCAGCATTGTTTATCTAATACACACACACACACATAATACATGTTAATTAAAAAAAAAACATGTGTTTTCTATTCGTTTCTTTTTTAAAAGTTTGATTTAGTTACAAGCTGACTTACAAGGATGTTGAGTTTGGCATCAAAAATGGAAGAAACGGTGTTCATGAGTTCCTCCCTTTGTTCTTTAGAAGACAAATCACAAACCGAACCGGTAACATGATACCCTTTGCCTTTCCATTCTTCCAGCCTTTCATTGATCTCTTTTTGATTTCTTGAACACGTATGTATAGATGCACCGAATCCTGCTAATTCCTCCACAATTGAATAACTACAGCAAACAAAAATGAATTAAAACACAAATACAATTACCATATATAACATGATTATAGAAGCTCTCAACAACAGTTGTTTGAAAAGTAAATAAGTTCATATTAGAAACATATCGATGGCAAGAAAGATGACTAACCCTATGCCTCTGGTGCCACCTGTGACAAGAGCAGTCATGCCCTTAAGAGACCATTTCTGCTCTCGGGTACTAGCCATCCTCGGAATTTCCGACGAATTAGTTTTCTTTCAACTTAACCATGTTGTGTGGTACATATTCATAACCAATCCCCAATTGAGGTCAAAATCAAGCCGTATAGAATTCAATTAATTAAATAATAATGACAATTATTTGGTCATGATATGAAGTTGGGAAGTGAAGAACTAGCTTAGTCGGTTAGGTCTACTCCGCAGTCCGCTCGTCTATTATATTTTAAGTAATAAAAACTTATAATATTATTAATCTTAAATAATATTGATAACATAACTCTCAAAGTTCGACAAAATGTTAATTAACTATAGCGTTTTTGTCTGGTTCTTATAAGCTTGATTGATACGCCAAGGAGTCCAAGCATCTCTCATCTTAATGTAAATTTCATAAATAACATACAAAAAGTCTGATGCCGCAAAATTTTAAATTTTATATCTGGTTGATCAAAAAATGGAGAGAACGATTACCAGCCACACGTATGATCAATAATTCAGATTTTTTTAAAAAATTAACAAAAAGAAATATTCGAGATTGATTTGGTCGTTTTTAGCATTCAAAAAACAAAAATCATGGTCTTAGTTATATATAATCTAGCTTTTTATTACTATTATTTTTTTCAAAACAGCAAAACTACTCCGTAAATCCACCTATATATCTCCACAAGGGAACTTAAAACAAAAACCCCAACCTCAATAAGAGAGAGCAACACCGGTTAACATTAGTCTAGATTAGAAGAACTTTGGTATTAGAGTATTATTCATAACAATGAATATTGGTTTGCCGTACAGTTTTATAAATCTTAATAATAATTTAATCAGAAAATTATTTAAAATAATATAATTATATATAATATTCTTACGAGAATATTAGTATATGTACAAATTCAGAAATTTTAATATATTTTAATTAAAATACTCAACTATAACAGTTATGATTTTCTTAGAAAAAAAGCAGATATTTAAAATCATAAAAAATAATGACGCATATTTTATAATTTTTTCAGAAACAAAAACCGTGAATTTTCTTTTGGCTTTGAATGCTAAAAGTTGTCCATATGTATCACTTAAACCACAAGTTACTAATTATGTACTCTAATTATTAATAAAATTATATATTAAATAATACATTCTTATATTTCAAAAATTAAGATGATAATTAGAATAATGACTTTATAATATTATTATTGATCTATTTTGGAGGCATTTATCACACTAGTTGGAAAGTTACAGAGTAAATTACACGATTGATCACTCGTTTAAATGTCAAATTATACGTTTAGTCTTTAATTTCAAAAATTAACCCAGACTCTTCTTATAATCTTTTTTCTCATACGGACCTTCCCTGACAAACATAAAACGACTAACTTACCCTTTTTATTTTTTGATATATTTTATTTATTTATTTGTTATTAATAATTTTAAAAAAGTAAAAAAATAAAAATAATAAAATAAATAAAATATAATAGTAAAAAGACCTACTACCCCAAACACTTATCCTTAACCTAGCCCTACCCATAGACTCCAATCATTCATTAGTTCCTCTTCTTCACTTGGGTCGTTGGAGCTTGAGAGATACGGGGGGCCGGAGCCACCACCCACATCTCCACGACAGTCGTCGTCGAAGCTACCCCGACAGAGAAAAAAAATAAAAGAACATCGCTTCACTCACCTTCATACCACTCGACATCGTCCTCGTCGCATATTTGTTGTCATCTTCACCTACACACTGTTGGCCATCTCCACCTGCACATTTTTGTATCCCCACCTTCATCGCAAGGTCCCTCTCACCACTATGGATTTGGATCTGCACTTCGAAAACGGCTCAATCTTTTAAGATTTACACCGCCATTATTCAGATTATCTTCTCAGATATCTTCTTTGATTTGAAAGTCAGAGACCTTCTCTGTTTGACTATCGTTGCCACATCATCTGGGGTTTGTAGAACTACATTCCATAAAAAAAATTAAAAAAAAATAAAATAAAAAAATAAAATAAAAAAAAACTCTATCTTTTCCGTTTGTAGATCTACCTGGTGGTGCTTGCTAGAGGTGAAAGGGGGAGATGTCGATGATAACAGGTGGTGGTTGTTGGAGCTGAGAAAAAGGTGGCTGGTGTACATTATGGTCGGATGTAATATCCCAAAATTCATGATAAAAAATTTCATTTTTAATTATGTAATTATAAAAACCAGTAATCTAAAAACATCAATAGTGTCATCTCATATCATAAGCAGAACCATTATGTCAATAACCAAAACATGTTATAAGAAAACATCATCAGAGTCAACTCCCAAAGATCTCATGTGCAGAAAATCATAGTGTGATGCGTTGTGATCATGTCGGATCCTTTCCTTTCGAAATAGAAGTACCTGAAACCAATACTAAAAATCATAAGCACGAAGCTTAGTGAATTCCCCCATCATACCACATACCATACAATCAACATACTACCTAGCATATCCGAGTGTTGGCCTACCCATTCAGTCTCTTTTAACCGGTCATTGGCTAGCATATCTGGGTGTTGCCCTAGCCCTTCGGTCCCTTTCAACCGGTACTGTCTATCATAACCAGGTGTTGGCATACCATTTCGGTCTCTTTCAACCAGTAACTGCCTAGCATATATGGGTGTTGGCCTACCCCTTTAGTCACTTTCAACCGGTTACGGGATCTATTTCACCCCTACCACTACCACATAATATCCTAGCATATAAGCATATAAATCACACACTTCCTAGCATATTTGGGTGTTGACCTACCTCTTCGGTCTCTTTCAACCAGTTACTGCCTAGCATATATGGGTGTTGGCTTACCCCTTCGGTCTCTTTCAACCGGTTATAGGGTCTATTTCACCCCTACCACTACCACATAATATCCTAGCATACTGGCACATAAACCTCAACCGATAGTGTCATACCAGACAATTATCACAAAGATAATCAACTCTACTGTAAACAACTACTAGTAAGACGGCATTAGTGCCTTTGACTCACTCATACTGGGAAGGTAACTCACCTCAAAAACTGGAAGTAGTTAAACATTCTCTGGCTCCGAATATCAACCCAACTCAATTCCCTACACATAAAAGATTTCCTTAAGTAACCCTTTCATAGTCATAACCCCTTAAGTGTCAAATTTGGTCCAAGTCAAAGTCAAATTCAAAGTCAACACTCTGGGTTTGACTCAACTTGTTGAGTTTACCCTTCAACTCATCGAGTTCTGAAGAATCACGGAATCGTGAAATCACAGTCCAACTCGTCGAGTTTTCCTCCAACTCGTCAAGTTCTTCCTTTTCAACAAAATCGGGAAATTTCAAATTAAATCGTCGAGTCCCTCCATGAACTCATCCAGTTCTATAGTATGTTAGTCCCTTCTTAATGCATTATTTCCTTATTCTTTAGATCTAAACTCTATACTCAATATCCTAACTGGAAATGCCTCTAAAAGGCTAAAGTTTCCAACTTTACCCATTAATACCCTTCCTAAAGAGATTAAGCTCAAACCCTAACCCACAAATGATAAAAGTTTTCATCTAAAAACAACCGAAATATCTATCTGTATGAGAAACCTCTCCAAGAATGTCAAATCTCTCCTAAATCTCTCCAAGTATGTGAAATCTCTCTCAAATATCTCTCTGTATGAGAAATCTCTCCAAGAATGTCAAATCTCTCCTAAATCTCTCCAAGTATGTGAAATCTCTCTCAAATATCTCTCTGTATGAGAAATCTCTCCAAGAATGTCAAATCTCTCCTAAATCTCTCCAAGTATGTGAAATCTCTCTCGAATATCTCTCTGTATGAGAAACCTCTCCAAGAATGTCAAATCTCTCCTAAATCTCTCCAAGTATGTGAAATCTCTCTCAAATATCTCTCTGTATGAGAAATCTCTCCAAGAATGTCAAATCTCTCCAAGTATGTGAAATCTCTCTCAAATATCTCTCTGTATGAGAAATCTCTCCAAGAATGTCAAATCTCTCCTAAATCTCTCCAAGTATGTGAAATCTCTCTCGAATATCTCTCTGTATGAGAAATCTCTCCAAGAATGTCAAATCTCTCCTAAATCTCTCCAAGTATGTGAAACCTCTCTCAAATATCTCTTTGTATGGGAAATCTCTTCAAGAATGTGAAATCTCTCCCAAATCATCTCCAAGTGTTCTTGAATTAAACACTTCCATTCTTCAACCATCATCTACTGAAATCACTCAAGGTGAGTTCATACCCCTACATTTTCATGTTTTCTCAAGTTTTTAGGGGGGGGGGGGGGAATACAAGTTAAAACACTAAGAACATAACTAAATTTTGCTAACAGCTTACATCAGAAAAGTTCAACTCCATTCACGGACTGTTTTGGGCATCTTAAACATTTTTGTTTTCAAAACTGTACAAGGTGCAAATAGTTCAAGTTTTTAGCTTTAAAATGGCTACTTGCACATCTCCATACGATCTTTCTACAATTTATGGTGATTTTTACAAAACTGCCTATCATTTCAAACAACAATCCGGACCAGTCTGTGATTTTGGACTTTTTCACCCAAGTTGGAGGTCATTAAAAATTGTGATAAAAATTATGAGTAAACTAGACACATTTTGTGAACTCTCAGAATTTACGGATCTAGTTTTTGACTTCGTATGATTTTTCTATGATTTTTCCAAAAACAGGGCAGAATGGCTAAATTTAGCCAGCAGCATGTAAACATCATAACACTTTGTATTATGTTGAGCAAAGTGTATAATCATAAGTTCTAATATTTGAATGTGTTTCCATGTTAGTTTATCATTATGAACTGAAACTAAGACATTCATATTAAATATTATTCATTCATTTTAGAACACGGATTATTTAACTATAAAAAGTATAGTTTGATAAATTCATAACACTAATACATTTCCATAAAAGAGTTCATACATATTACATACACTTTAGATAAACTATAATAGGTATAGTTTGTGATACATCACTCAACGCACTCGTACAAAAAGGGTACATTCATACAAGAAAGATTTATATTCACACACATTTCAAGTAAACTTGTTAACCTATGTTGTGAGACTCTCTCTCTCTCTCTCCCCGTACGTCCGAGTGCGGGATATAATTCCTGGTAGTTATAATCAGAATCTCCTTGAGGGAGAACGTGATACTTGTATATAGATCTATATTGGGTTTGACACCCCACACCTTGCTGCTAGCTACAGTGGGACCTGCAGGTCTACGGGTGACAAATGTCATTTCATTTTCGCGACGCCTGAGAAACGTTGTGGCAGGTTCACATAGTCACAGTATGATTATAGCGACTCACTTAGGGGGATAACAATTCGTGAAGTTTACGGGGTTTCATAAAACCGAAGTAGGTTTTAGGTTGATAAAAGAAATTTACTTTCCACAACATTT